TGTAAGTAACTGAATGTGCTAATATAGTAATTACAAAATATTTTAATCTTATGACAGCCCATTTTTTGAAGTGAAATTTTTTATTTAAATGTGAATGCATTGATGAATCAATAAATATGCACTATAATTCAATAGTCAATAGACAAACATTACTGTAAGTAACTGAATGTGCTAATATAGTAATTACAAAATATTTTAATCTTATGACAGCCCATTTTTTCAAGTGAAATTTTTTATTTAAATGTGAATGCATTGATGAATCAATAAATATGCACTATAATTCAATAGTCAATCGGGTCAGTATTACAGGTATGTTGTATTTTAAAATAAATCAAATACTTTTATTCAGCAAGGCTGCATTCAATTGATTAAAAGTATCAGTAAAGACATTTTGTAATGTTATAAAAAATCTATTTCAAATAAATGCTGTTCTTTTAAACTTTCTATTCATCAAAGCATCATGAAAAAAATGTATCACAGTTTCCACAGAAATATTAAGCAGCACAACTGTTTTCAACATTGATAATAATAAATATTTCTTGAGCAGCAAGTCAGCATATTAGAATGATTTCTGAAGGATCATGTGACTCTGAAGACTTTAGAAAAGGCTACTGAAAATTCAGTTTTGTGCAATAAATCAGAACATTCAGACAACCCACCAACTAGTCGAATATATTATGTATGTTGATGTGATTTTGTATGTGTTACAGTAGATATTTTACACATCCCTAATTTAAAAACCTTGCTACACTTACTGTAATCTGTTGAGAATCTTTGAATGTTGTTGAAATCCTTGTTCTCACTTTGTCAAGGCCGCCTTTTGGACTCCACTAAGAACTACATGTTTGTTTTCCTGCTGGCTGGGATTGAGGTTGTGGTATCAGCTTTAGTGTTGGCAATATGCAACTTACTGTTCATAAAAAAGAAACATGAGGCACCAGAGACTGCAATAGAGAATGGAGAGACAGTGGAGGCAAAGAATCACTCCAGTACGCCACCCATACAGGAGCCACACAAGGCCCATGGAAACTCAGAGAAGCCGAAGGATTCAGGTGACCTGAGAGCCGAGAATGTTATGAAGGATTCAACAGAAGTGGAAACATTTCTTAAAGATAAAGATGAGCAGAATAAGAACATCCCCTGTAGTCCAGAAACCAAACTCTGATTTACATTACTGCTTAAGAAGAGGTCGGAAAGACACAAATAAGAGGAGATTGAGGAGAACTGTGGTGTTAATGCGTGTCAGTGTGTAGTCCGATGTGATGTCCTAATGTGTGTGCTACTTACTGACAGATGAATATTTAATCAATAATAGAGACCTTCACTCCACTCATGCTGTTCAAAATCACATTTGCACTGCCACACAGAGAGATTTGGACGGGCCACTCTCAATACGTCTGTAGCTCAAAACCACAGACATTTCTTTGACTTAAACCAACGTTAACTAGGTTAAAGGTGCTGTAAGTGATTTTTGTCATGGAATTGTATGGAGAAAATGATCCTACTCACTGAAATCACTGTCCTGAGATATCACACCGATCTCTGTGACAGTCCTAGTCAGTGTTGGGGGTAACGCATTACAAGTAGTGCCAGTTATGTAATCAGATTACTTTTTTTCAAGTAAGTAGTAAAGTAATGCATGACTTTTAAATTTACAAGAAAATATCCGAGTTACTTTTTCAAATAAGTAACACAAGTTACTGTTTTCTTAGTAACTTTTCCCAACACTGGTCCTAGTATCTATAAACAGTAAAAGGAAAATTTGCTCTAGACACTTTTTCAGCCAATCACAACGCATTTGAGGCACTTTCCACCTGTCAATCAAATCGCACGTATACAGCAGTCATATATGTTAAGCCGGAGAGCGTGATGGGTGAAGAGCGGTTTTCATGCATTGGAGGGGTGTTCAATTTTGACACCGCCAAACGTCTTAAAGGAAAAATAGATCGCTTTTTATCACCAGAGGAAACTGAAAGCTTCAAAGATACATATGCTGATTTTGGTTTGCTTAAAATATATTGCTTGTTCACCATGGTTACGCCAAAATGGCAGAGATGTTGAAAGGGGAGGCATGCCTAAAGTCTGAAAAGTTTAATGTTGTTACAGCATCTTTAACTAAGTGCAAATTAAACATCACATCACGAGTAAAGCAGACAGCTATCACAGGAACTGAAAGTGTGTGCATACTCAATTCTGATCATATTCATAGATATCAGCAGAGACATCAGATATCAGCAGAGTTTCCACTTCTTACTCAAATGCACCTTCTGTTCAAACGCTTCTGTAACAGTATGTGTGCCTATTTACAGACCTCATACACTATGTAAAATGCTTTGTTTTGTGCGTTGTGAGAAGTGCGGTCCACTGGCTTTAGTAAACTTCTGAAAATGCCATGATTTCCTGCATAAAGATCAGTACTGTAATATTCTTCAGAATCATTAGAACATTCCTGATAGACAGCTACTGTAATCCTGCTGGATTGACATCTGCCACCTACTGCCCTACTTCAGTTTATATTCTTTGGTATGCCTCAACGTCAAAGACTGAGTGTTTTTTTATGTTAGTGGAGTATAACTGTATTAGTTTGTACTGTGAATTTCTTTTTTGACACTGTTGTGCATTTCTCAAAGACTTAAAAATTTTTACCGTTAGGCTGAGATTGTCATAGCATAGGGGAGTAGAGAGCAGTGTGTGCATACTCAATTCTGATCATATTCATAGATATCAGCAGAGACATCAGATATCAGCAGAGTTTCCACTTCTTACTCAAATGCACCTTCTGTTCAAACGCTTCTGTAACAGTATGTGTGCCTATTTACAGACCTCATACACTATGTAAAATGCTTTGTTTTGTGCGTTGTGAGAAGTGCGGTCCACTGGCTTTAGTAAACTTCTGAAAATGCCATGATTTCCTGCATAAAGATCAGTACTGTAATATTCTTCAGAATCATTAGAACATTCCTGATAGACAGCTACTGTAATCCTGCTGGATTGACATCTGCCACCTACTGCCCTACTTCAGTTTATATTCTTTGGTATGCCTCAACGTCAAAGACTGAGTGTTTTTTTATGTTAGTGGAGTATAACTGTATTACTTTGTATTAGTTGTACTGTGAATTTCTTTTTTGACACTGTTGTGCATTTCTCAAAGACTTAAAAATTGTTTACCGTTAGGCTGAGATTGTCATAGCATAGGGGAGTAGAGAGTAGGTATCTCTGCATTTATATGACTTCATCCTTCAGCAATATTTGCATTTACCTATTTTTTCCTACTCTGAATGTTTAACAAACCTAGTTTTATCGCAACAAATAATCTATATTCTTTATTTACTGAAATGGACCAAATGCAAAACCAAATTAAAGGTCAAATGACAAGTGCTTAAACTCAATTGATATTGTGGTGAAATGCTGGATGACATAAGCATGCACTGTGTCCCGTCGTTTCGATGTGATAGAAATGAGGTTTGACAGCACTGCCTGGTGGCATTAGTTTTAATTTTATACCAGCATCAGGAGGAGACAGCTCTACTACTGGTTAAGCTACTTGCCACGTCAAAGATTTGTACATTAATACATCTGTTACAAGTGCAGCTATGAGAAATTCAGACTCGGTAACCCCAGAATCAGTCACACTGCCCTTCTATATTGTGCCTATCTGAGTCGGGCTGGGAAATATTTGCATTATTTACTTTCAGTTTTCAGACTGACTGTATCATTTGATAATGACCTCATCTCTTGTCTGTTGAAAACATAAAACTAAATCTGCTCAATAAATGTTGAACACACAACAGTTGTCTTTCACAAGTTTAGTTAATAAAAGGTGTTCAAATAGTGAACTGCAGGTGCACTCGTTCACCCAGAAATTAAAATTGTCATTTACTCGCGCTTACATCGTTCCAAACTCAAGCTTTCGGTGTTCATCGCCTAAACACATTGATTTGCACTGAATTCAATAGATTTCTGCCCCTCCATTAAAAGCTAATTCTACCTAAACTTAAACGCTTCGAGAAGTTTTGATGAGCTCTGGACGCCGATCAATGTTTATGTGAATTAAAGCCTGAATTAAATATGTTCATCATATAAAGCTATCGTGTATCACCCACTCGATTCACATGGATTACTTTTATGGTCTCATGACCATTTTGAAGCGCCAAAGTTTAAGTGAAACGGTCTTTTAATCGGTCACGTTTCATTCAAATATATTGATTTGTGTTTCAGGTAGAGTAGCGCTACATCATTTTGGACTCGAATGAAAACAACGAGGCTGTGAGGGATAAATAGAAGTACAGTGCGTTCAACGGATTTGCTCAGCTGACGAAACTACTTCAAAAAAAGAAAAGAACGAATTTTTAGACAAACTCCATCAAATAGATTTGAAAGTTGAGTTGTAAAAAAATTACATGATTTAGGACCTTTATACAGTGCGTGCCATCCCTCACAGCCTCATTCATTCAATAGAACATGGGTTTGGAACGACATGAATAATTGATAGAATTTTTCATTTTTGGATTACGATCTCTTTAAGAAACATTTTATGTGGAGAAAGGAAAATGGGGGGAAAAAACTGCTTACAAGTACTTATTCATTTATTTACACATTTTAAAATACACAAATACAGTGGCAATACAAATGAGGGAAAAAAAATCTTCCAGGGAAAGAAGATCCATAATTCCACCTGATACAGCACAGTGTGATGCAGAAGGACTGGCCAAGCAGTCGTGTGTAGAATGAACCAGAAAATGAAAGAGAAATCCATATTAGCTCGATCCCCGACAAAGTGTACTTGTGCCTACATTTAAACACCACCAGTACGGGAGCGGCTGTTTCTGTGAGACCACCAGTGGAGAGAAAGAATTACTAACTTATCAAATCTAGAACAGAACAAAGTCCCTCACACCTCTCTAAGCACTAGCCTTTTCCCCAAACTCACAATACACACACAGACAGTGGCTATGAAAAAATGGTACTTTGCCATCACTAGAAACATCCTATATACATGACAACAGAATTTAAAAGTTTCACCACTATCCCCCCCACCCACGACTACAGAAAAAGCCTATCCTCTACTCTGCTGAATGATACAGACAGGCAGCTCGCCTTCCATGTCCTGTGACTTATATAGCACCAGTAAGTCAAGGAACCACACTTCTGAAACAAGGGAAAAGTAGTACTAAAAGCATTGGTAATACTCAGTAAATAAAGTTGAAGAAAAACAAAAACTTGCATCGCAATTGTTAAAAGTGTCAAAAGAAAACAAAAACAAATCAGGCATGGCTTAAATGATGGCTGGTGTATTATCAATGAGACAAGCTGGGCTCAGGACATCCATTTCCAAATCCAAACACAAAAGTTAAAAGAAAATGTGCCCGTTTGTCTCAACAAATGCCCCAAGTTTTTCATGTTCATACTCTCAGGTCAGAAAAATGAAGCCCTTTTACTTATTATTAGACTTCTTAAACGGCTATAAATGTCTTTCAGTGACATTGTCCAACAGTCTTGACCCAACAATGTGTGCCTGCATTACTGTAAAAGCATTAAGCTTAGTTCAGGGGGTAAAAAGAAACAAAGAGCAACATTAATAACATCAACAACTCTACAATACAGGCATTTCACAGCATTCGAGAAACAAAAAAAGGCTTGAGGGAATGCAATCAAATCAATGAGCAATTCTTGATAATCGAGTTGATAAAGAGGGCCAGGTTGACGGGTGCAACAAACTAAAAATAATCTAAAAAGGTGTGAAGGTGGTATTGTGGGTACGACTACTCGAACCTTTGCTGTATGTTTCTCTGTCTGGCCTTCGACATAATAAACTACAAAATGACATAAAAAGGACAATGCCTTCATCCTGCCACATGAACAAACAGGCTTTCAAATGTTCAATTTAATTCTGCACATTTCATTAAGCTTAATCCTGTTAAACTATCAAAAAGAGAAAATGATTCACCTGCAAAAAACTGTAACCAGTGTGAAATCAATTTAATCTCTGTTGTACATAAACAAAAAGACAAAAATAAAAGATTACAGTAAGCAAAATGTCAATGGCTATCAGTACAGCTGCATTCCAAGCTGTGTAAAAGTAATTTTTTTGCAACAGAAGAGGGTGAGTTGCGCAATCAGAGCTATTGTACATGGCTTTAGCCAAGAAGCTCTGCTTTGCGAAGAGGCCCCTGGATGGCAGGAGGATGGCCCTCTCCTTCTGGTGTTTGTCAGAGGGCTGAAAGCAGTGATGGCCAAGAATCACGCCCCGCCCCACCCCCCTGTCCCTCCCATCTCGCCAGAGATTGTCTGGCAAAAAGTAATGTTAACAATCCCAACTGATGTGCCCAGGTGTCTTGGAGTAGTGTAGGTAAGGAAATGTTTTTGTGTGTGTGTGTGTGTGTGTGTGTGGAGTGTGTGTGAAAAGAAGAAAACCAAAATCTGTCCATCTCTTGAATTTGCATGACTCAAGTGTGTTTAAATGCATTGAGAGGAAGGTGGAAATGAAGTCTCTTGTTTCGATTTGATTTGCTGAGGTTGATTTCACATGGTTAGAGGCTGCTGGAGTCCTAGTGCAGATCAGGGCCATGGTTGGTCTGCTCTTGAGGTGTGTGGAGGGTCTCATCGAGGTACGGCAGACTGCAGGCCACTTGGGGTGACACGAGAAAGAGCCTGGAGTGGGCAGGAGAAACAGACACATCAGTTTCTGAATGCCACATGATATAAATGCAAACTGTTCCTGAGAGAATCTCAGTAGCTTCCTGAGTTTTTTTAAAAAGGCAATTCACACTGCACTGATAGACATAGACCAATGGTGACAGCTGACCAGTACGTCACTTATCAGACATTCCAAGACCCGACAAACGCCTTATCAACATGTTCCATTGGCAAAAACAAGCACTGACCAATGCCAAAAGACACCCACAGGAGTAACACATGATCAGACAAAAACCAATGAATGTGTCTGTTGCTGTTTGTCGACATCTGTCGGTGCAGTCTGAATTGGCCTTAACAGTGCAATTTTAGTTTGGCTACGTTCAAGCAGTCAGTATTTTGGAGTGATAACTGTTAGGTGTGACTCTTCAAAAAGATGGGAGTGGATTAGATGATGTCTATGGATGTCACCAAATGACTTCACTAACTCTTGTATAATGCCTGTAGCCAAAGCAACAAATAATGATAATAAATAAACACGCATTGAATTTGAATCACACTACTCTTGAAAATATTTATAAAAGAAGTCTTAATGCTGCAATTATTAAAAAAAATACAATAATATAATATAAACAATATATAT